ATATAATAATAAATTTAAACAAAAATTAATTATTACCCACTATTTTTGCGATGGACGAACACTCAAAAACCCTTTTGCCCGAAATCAAATAATATCGACACATGTTGCCGGTTTCCATGCGGCTTCTAAAAAATCAATCTAATACTTCGGAAAATGAACCGCGGATTGGAAGGGGCTCAAAAATGCATTCGAATGGTTTGAAAGGCAGTTTTTGATACATCCGAATTCTCGTAATCGTGACTAACGGTTATTTGGAAACGGAAAATATGATTTATCAGGTTAATTGCCCGGATAAGCTCCAGTGACTAGTCTGAAATTTTTTGCACACAACCTTTTTTGAGTTTTTGGCTATTTTGAGCCTTTGAGATTTCTGACTTGCTATCAGCGTAAAATTGAATTTCGCTAGAATTTTTCGATGTTTTTGTGGCGTATTTGAGGGACGCTTTAACTAATTTATACTAATCCATATTTCTTGATGCAGGATGACTATCAAAAAATTATATAGGAAGAGTATTTAATAATAACTATCTAGTGGTTTAAGTTCTAAATTAAAGCTATATTAACGATAGACGATTATATTAAACAAGCATGACTGTCAAGAATGTCACCCTTAGAATTTTCTTTCCTAAAATAAAACTGTTTTGATTTCATTACAGTTATATAAACAAAACAGGAAAAAGTCTCAATTTAGCTGCTGTGTTCTGTATTTATAAATCGATAACTACTATACATACAAATTGTAGTTAATTGCATTCTTAAGGTGACAGGTTCTTTTGCAAGACAATCGAATCATTGATTTATTGTAACACAAACGCAAAATTTAAATGAAGCTGTCACAGCGCGTTATTGTCTAGAGAAGCGTTGAACAAAGCAGAGATAAACAGTGACGTAATTAACGTGACTGCGGCACGTTTTAAAGTCGTATTCGATTGGGAGCTATTTTCTCATGGGACAACTGGCGGTCAACAACCGACAATGAGATTGGAGAATTTGAGCTGTTACAAAAGCAATGAAAAAATATGACAAGCGTATATAAATACAAAACAGACTGAAATAAATCGGTTATTGCTTTATTATATGCGTCATTTTCATTCCAGGTTGAGTGCAGAAGGACTCTTGCCGAAATTTTGGAAAGTCTGTCGAAGGCAGCCGCTGGTGGCATGAAGCGCAACAATCGAACGCCACACAAATTCAGAGAGGATATACTATTTTTTGTGTTTTCGTTTTTGATTTGAGTCAAATTTATTTGTGCGTAGCAAAGTCAGATTGTCTATAACAGTATTAGCAAAGCAATCTGTCAATTTCAATGAAATGCGTGTGGAAAAGCGAGCATTTTTGGAACGGAACGTTTTATAATTATAGATGTTGAAAGAGTAACAACCTCAACCCACTGGTCGACCTGTGTGTGTGTTGCAATCATCGTAATAGTCGTCGGAGGACAGTTGTGGCTGATCTTTTATAGTGTGAAGTATGGTGTGAGAGAAAATTTGTATGTTCGAAAACGTCTTATTGCTTAAAGTTGCGATTGTTTACGAATGCCTAAATTGGCGGTGTTATAAGCAGTGTAGACCCTTTTGGCTATTGCATTCAATCTGCCTTCCAGGTTTAGATACAATCTGGATAGCCTATGTAAAAATAGGTCGCCTCCTTTATTAGTGACTCCGTTAGCAGGTGTTTACAAGGAAAATTTAATTTCATTTTCGAGTAGTCACTGAAACGGCACGGAGTAAACATTTGGTATATATATGTACGAAATAATAACTGCAATCTCTGTGGACAATACATCTGTATTGTATTGCATTTACAAGTTAAGGAAGCCAAATGAGCAGTTGGCACTTCTACTTGTGTATAAGGAACGATGTGTTTTCAGGAGAATGCACAAAATATTAAACACCTGCTTCCCTGACCATAAATAATGATCTAACATGTGGCCAGCAATTTAAAATATGATATTTCGATAATGTTGTGAAACTTTTTCGTTTTATTATGACACGTCCGCTCGATTCCAGGGTGTTGTCATAAGCGTCTAATTCTATCCTAGCGCTCGACTTTTTTCCTCAGTGATCATTTGAAACTGAATGGAATATGTCGTGGCAGCAAACATTCCGAAAAGAGTGTTTCTGCGGTGGCAAGTTATTGAAAACTGCAGATATTAAAACTTAAGTTGTGCTACGTATTGCATTGCTAGTTATTGTATGTATTGTGCTACAACAATTTTTGAGCGAAGTACAAAGAAAGAGTAAGTTGGATTTTGTTCTTGCCAGTGCACTCCGTTACTTATCAACCAGTTACAGTTTATTGTCAGTTACTTTTTAGTCTAAAATGACTGGAATAATTTCATCGTTCAAATGGAACTATGATTCAAGTTTTTGCAGACTAAATAGAGAGTGAAAAGTTATTTCATAATGGTTTTGTTTAACGGGATCTTCACAAAGCTAGAAATTTTAGGGATATTAAATGTTTACGTCTGCAAATAACTTTAGGGTAGAGATTTGTATACTTCAAAGTCAAGAGTTTGTTCAGTTTAAGGGTGACGATCAACAGCAACTAGGGGGATTACATTCCAGCTATATATTTGACATGGCGCGATGAACCGAATGCTACATACACGGATGTACGCAGCGCATAGATGTGCGATGAGACAATCAGTCGATGGCCAAACCTATCAGAAGCAATTTAGCTGCCTTCCTAATTGCCAGCTCACAATTTCTTGTATCTTAGATATATTTCTTATGTAACGTATCGTAAGCGAATAATAGCAGCGATAATTTATTAACTACTGTTTCATATAAAAAGGAAAATAAAACTTAAATTTGTAGATATAACATATTCTTTTTGTGGTACTTTAAAATGTCGATGATACAATATTTGCATTGAGGGCAAATACATTCGTTCGTCTCATACGAATCTTTACTTCCAAATAGTGATGTGCGTGCTCCTACTCAAAGAGTGATGGAAAGACTAAAACCGACTGATTCAATCCATGTGAGATATAGGACTAAGAACTCCCACACGTAAAACGAGTAAATTGTAAGACATTTATCTGAAAAAAATAATTCAAGTCAACAAGTATAGGGGACTGACAAAAAATATTTAATAGAGTCAAACGAAAGTCTATAATCAGAGAGGAAATCGACTTTTAGTCAGAAAAAAAAGCAAATTTTGTCAACAAAACGATTTGCCTTTTTCTCAACTAAAAGCCTATTATATTTAGCCAATTTTAAAGGAGAGTTTCAAAATAAAAATCAGCTCTGTCCGCAGTAGCGTATGACGAGCTTGTCATGCTCAACTTGCCAAAGTAATAGATCAGCTGATTCTGCTATAGAAAAAATGTGTATAAGCACATCCTTTTTTTTCATTGCACATGTTCTGACGAAGTTCAAGCTAGCGATCGTGTTTCAAGGAAGTGATAATCCTATTAATCTAATAAGCCAGATGAGCTTAGTTAAAGATTTACCTTTTCTTTTAGCGATATATGATAACCGTATTGATAATTACAAATAAAATCAATTTTTATTGTGCATGCCTCCCTGAAATGTACTTCACGCGATTATTTGGAAAATGCTCTAAAGGTGGTCTTCTTCGACGTAAGCAGTTGCCGGGGTGCCTTAGACTAAAGAAGACCGCTGGCCCAAACGCCTAGGTCGTTATTCTATTTTGTATATATACTTTTTGGCAGCAAGAGAACAACATATAAAGGCAGATAAAGCTCCTCCTTATTCAAAGCATCTCACAAATTGTCACGGATTTTGCTATAAGTATCATGAACGACGGCTCTTCTTCTAAGCCGTGGAAAAAAAAGAGGAAGAGATTCGGGTACCCCAAGGGGGTATATCGACTGGTCTGCCTGTTGGGAGCCTTTGCAAAAGGATCTGAACTTATTACCAAAGCCAGACTGTGCGACAGGGGAGACTGCTCCCGAACAGTTAATACAGTTTCTTAAAACGCTGACCGCATTTATCGGCAAGGTGTATAATAATAATAGAAATTTGAAGTGAATACTCTCCAGATAAAAATGTTCTTCATTGTATCATTCGTCTAATATCACTTTACATAAACAACTCAATGGTGATCCATCTAAGATCTTAGTTTCCTATGACCATGAAGGGTAAGTTAAGGGTACTCTACTGTGGAATTTGGCGTACGACGGCAACGTACGGTTACCTGACTTTCCTCTTGGACTGGACGTAATAGCTTACGCTGATGACCTTGCGGTGACGATTACAGTACGGAATTTAGAAAATCGAGCGAAACAGGTTGACGGAGGTAATTGATTGGATAAGAGGCTGAAATTTAGCGAACTCCGAGGTGATACTTCTGATAGAAAACAAGAATGCGCCGCCATAAAGTAGACAAAATGAAAGGAGAGCCGGTACAGATAAAAAGAACAATGGTCAAATGTCTGGGGTTACACCTGAACCTAAACATGAGAAGCGCAACCTATATTAGAAGTGCGGTAGCAAAAAGAGGATTTAGCAGGGTCTTGCCTAACGTCCGCGGATCAGGAAAAAGGTTGCTTGTATTAATGGCCGGATCAATTAGTTTGTATGGGGCCGCCATTCTGACATTTTTTCCAACTATCGAAGCATTATATAAGAAACACACAGTGCCCTTAGGCTTTTAACGAACGTTAGAAGTATAGAATTGGTAGCACTCAGGCGGTGTTGGCACCGGCAGAAACCATCCTTTGGAACCTAAAAGACAAAAGAAAACGGCAAAAGATATGGATTGATTCAAACGATGCCGGAGACGCTTTGGTTAAGGAGTAAAGGAAAAAGTGGCCAAGCATTTTCTTCAACGGCCAGGAGCGACACTACAAATGTCAATCTGGAGATCCAGGTGTGGCTTAACAGTATCAAGAGTGAAGACATTGTCTTTCTTGTGACTTTTTCAAAGTTGACTGGATAAGAGCAGTCCCCATACTATCTATATAGAATCGGAAAATCCTCTTCGGATTGGTGTGTTCTATGCACGACAGGAAGGTTCCCTGGCAGAGTACCTGGCCGTTGACCATATCAGAGCGAGGTGTATAACGAAAGATACCACAGCAGCAGACAAAAAGCGGTCGTTAGAAGCCGCACCAAGTAATGTCTGTATCACATCTATTCATTATGAACGTTGGAATAACAAGACTTTTGAGAACTAAGAACCATGCTTATAGGTTGGATTTTCAGAATGGAAAAAGGAGCAACAACCTTTTTCGGCCAGGAATTAGCCTGCCTGGCGAAGTGGAGAAGCCACTACCGTCACCCCGGCCTAATGACCCGGTGGCGTATCCGGTCATCCCCTACGACTATCTCCTAGTACTAATAAGCACGATCCGGGCTGGTTTTCAGCGAAATTTACAAAGGAATCGAGAGTTCTACTGCTTAGTGGTGTCGAAGTGGTGGGAAGACCCATTATTGAAGCTCAGACCCACTTCGGCCTCCCTGAGATAGGCCTCGCCCTATTAATGTTCAGCTGTTTGTACTAATTGTACTATTCAATCCCTTTAGAAAAAAAAGGATGTAAAATGAGCTACGCAAAATGGTGGCAGAACTTTAAATCAGCCGACGAAGGGTTCAGCTCTACCGACGCTCCTTTCTCATCAAGGGAGCATTAACTGCTCGGAATGAAATACATTGTACTAGCGACAGCTTTTCCAAAAAAAAAGAAGAGAAATATTTTGATTTAGAGCGGAAAAACGAAAACTATCTGCTAAAATTATTTGGTTCTTACTAGCCAGTCTGTAATACCTGAACATGATTATAATGCCGATAATATTTATTTACACAAATATTGCCAATCCAACGTTCAATTTTGAATCAGGTGACACTTGAGATAAACTAGCTCAGCCGAAACTGAACCGGATTATATGATATATATACTCAGTACTGGTCGTCCATTAGCCTCGAACTATTTATCCGCTACGGAAATCTAGACGTTGAACAAGTTATTTAGGTTCTCTACTAACCGAACTGCTTAAAGTGCGCAAATTATAAATTGTGGACATACTCAGATTTGAACAGTTGCAGCTCTATTTATTGCCTTTCCTCATGGGAGAGGGGCATTTTAGTTAGTTCTGTCTGTCTGTCTGCCTGGTTATCTATTCTCGTGTTGGTTCATTTCGCCACTCGTCATCCCCATCCTGGACACTCAGTCACTAATCTCGCATTGCTTCGACACCCGCAGCCGCTACGACGACTATCAGTTATTTCCATTGCCCCTCTCCTTTTATCGCTGTATTTGAATGTTGGTAATATGTGGCATTTGTTATTTTGTCGATATTCTAATTCCGAGTATTCTTTTTTTAGCAGTATTTCCGCCGCCGCCGCCACTACTTATTTCCATCGGCTCGATATGCGAATTCACCCGTTATTTTGACTCGAGTCCATCATAATGCTGTTACTTTTTTGTACCCTACAACAGCGGTTTTCGCTAAGCAACAATTAAATTCATCATTACTGACCTGTAACATACGATCATATGCGGCACAGAAACCGAAGCGTTTTATTCGGGCTTCTCTTATTATATATTGTCATTGGCCTTATTCACAATAGTTTTAGTACGTTTCGATAGCTTTTATTGTTTCTAAGTAGCCTCAACTTAAATAATAGAACACTCTTCCTTACGCTTACTTTCTAGTATTATACTGTATACGTACATACGTGTACCTGCATGTAAGCTTATTCAACTAATTCACGTCAAACGGTGTAAGATTATTTAGCCGTACATATTTAGATGTATTGAGTGTGTGCGCATGCGCGTGCGTACGCGCGTGCGCGGGTGTGCGCGTTTGTGTGTGTGTGTGTGTGTCTTTGTGAGTATCGTCGTCAATAGCCTACCTAACAACAACAACTCAACCTCAATCGAATCAACAAAAATATAACAGACGTTGGTCTTATATTTTTATCATTACTCAATGACAATATTAGTATTATTAATATATCCGTTGTGTTGTATTAGTCTTAGTTATATCCGTGATATTTATATATTATTATAATGGGGAAACTTTCATCGCTAACGCTCTTTCTGTCGTTTTGTTTCCCTTGTGTATTATCATATTCATATGCTATCGTGTCATTACTATCATTTATTGTTATTACTTATATATTCATTTGTATCACTCTCAGTAAATTTTCCCTTGCTTTTTTCCTCCCTCTCTTTCTTCGGCTTATATTCGTATCTTGAATTTGACTGTAATTTATATTTCATCATAAGGTTTACATTTCGTCCATATAATATTACATTGTAGGTATGTTTGCCACCATTGATATTATTACCATTACTGTAACTTATTTTCTATCTAATTCTATCTGCGCTTGATCTGCTCGTTCAGTACAATAGAACTCCTGCTGCTCTGTCCGTCTCCGTTTCGTAATCACATATCTAAACTGTTAACAATATTATTGTTATTATGATTATTATTATTATTGGCTGGCGTCCATTGTAACTTCTACTTAGGTAAATCTCTACGTTAACAAAAATTGCCAGCTTTCTTGAAAGCTACTTGCCCAAAGTGCCGCTTGCTACGACCCACCGCATTGCGCTGCACTGCGCTTATTATATTATCTCGTGGCTGTTGCGTATCTTCTGCGTTTTGTTTTCCTCTCTATCACCTAATGATCGACCGAGCGATCGATTGATTGATGACTACGAACAACCAACTAAGCCATTTTCTTTCCCACCTTCTCCGCTCCAGATTGCTTCGTTACTTTCTCTAGGCTGTGAGGGCTCATTTGTATCACTTTTTTTTGCAACAAATCTAGCCGACAGGTAGCGGCGCGAGCGCCTAATCTAATCATTGTTTGTTTGTCCTTTTTTGCGCAAACAAAGTTTGAGTGAAGACGAAGCACCTAAGGTGGAAACGACAGCCATAATTTAAAGACACCCCAGCGCATTGCTTTTTCAGCCAAAATCTCTGGCATGCCCGACGACCTATTCTCAATCTGTTCTCAACAGAACCGCAATGATGAAAATTCCGCAAGATTATACTAATTCTGCGAGATAATGAAAAGCAATTCTTATTGTTGCAAGGCTTGTCTTTACCAAAACACGTTATTTATCCCTGCAAAATCATCGTATTCGTTTTCTTTCGCTCGTGCATTTTGGGTTCACTTTCTGATCGACTATAGTTATTCCTCAAACATTATTATTGTTATTTATGTTTTTACATGTAAAATTGAGGGGTGGCCGTTTGTAATATGATTAGATCAAATTGTTGTCTTAAGAATAAAATAATCAATGTGTTCACCGTTATAAGGTTGCTGCCTACCGCCTAATAGAGCTCATATAGGGCCGACTTAGCTCCATAACAGTGGGCCGTGTTTCGTTATGAAACTCCGAAAACGCTCTCTAGAGGGGCACATCTAGTTATAATAAATAACAGAACTTCTGAAAGGGTTTCGCTGTTGAACGAAAGGGATCTCTACAGTTCTTATTCCCAATGCCCATGGACCTCTCGTCTTATTAATTGATACAAACTTATTACTGATTAGGGGCCCAGCTGCCTCCTTGATTTCATGAGGATATGTTCCCATAACGTGCCCTTTTACGAAAGTGGTTGCTACCTACTCTTCTATGGTTTCGTGAGACGATTCGTAGCTAATAATGTAGTAGATCGCATTCTCTTTAGACACAATCAGAGTTCAGAAATTAGTTGCATCGGAGTTGGGCATGCAGTAGCATAAAAGCGCATTGACGCCTTTCTGATAACCTTTTTCAATTCCGACGTCACGATCAATAAACGGTCGAAATAACTAGTCGTTTCGTGTTTTCTAATGACTTTGTTGGGTTGAACATAATCACTTCCTGTTTTATTTCTCGATGCATAGATCGAGTGTGCATGGCTTCTGTAAGTACATTCCGACAAAGAAATATATGAACTACTTTTTGCGAGACAAATTTATGTTGATCTTCTCTCCCTTTCCTGTTGCTGACAAGTGCGACGTGTAATGTGTTGTTTTGTACGAAAAACAATTTGTTTCGCAGTATTATTAATTGAACTTGCCACAGCAGCTCTTGGTAAGTTGTTCAATGATGCGGGCAACGTGGCATTTGAATCATCTACGGGAAAAACTGACGCGCGGTACTTTCCAACCCAGGTAGTTGTCGACGTTACAAACAAAAGCAAATTTATAGAGATACACATCAATCGCATGCCGTGCTACATCTTAGCTCCCGAGGGCGAGTCCACCACCCACGCTAATGTCATGTATGCACCGCGACACTGCGAGCGTGTGCGTGTGTGTGTGTGCGTTGAATCCGTTGAGTTTCGGTCCTTCACGTCGGACTACAAAAAAATTGAAGTTTTTTGTCTTAGGCTGGCTCGATGGCTCGAACGAAGTACCAAACTTTATTTATTCTGAAGCGCATCTCTGGTTCGTTTGATGATGAGGAACATTGTATGTTTAATATTGAGATGATGTAATAAACGTCAGCTTGGATGATGACTGCTCGTTGTGCCACGTTGTTCAGTTTAACGGAGAATGATATTTTTCAGCTTAATCGGAATCATCAGAATCGGACGCCGCATTACCAACCTGCCGCACTGGAGGTGGTGGAGTGGGCGGTACTTGAGGTTCCCGCGCCTCTACTCGTGTTATACCTCCTAAAGGAGTCGACTCTAAAGGAACGGTGCCTACCTGAACATCCATCTCCACCTAAAATGCGAGAAACACAAATATTACCAAGATAATGTCACCAAGAAGACACACTAAACGTTGCAGGCAAACCATCCGACTTGTGTTGATTGTATGTTTTTAGTTATTCTTTCACCACTCTTCAATTATCCCATCACATCGGACTTCCTCAAAAAAATATATATATTTTTCGTTGTGCACACAGTCTCAACCCTTATTTTGTCTGCCGGTTGCAACTGTCCCCGTTGCCTCAATCTAGAATATCCCCGTTCTAAAGTAACTCGATTTCCTTGGGTAAAATTAATTTTGACTTGTAGCGTTCCATTCGATTCGAACCATTACGCCGATAAACGACATAAAAATGCCACAATAACTTTCACGGAACAGTAAAAATTCACTTTTCTACTACTAGCATGCTATAACGCATTTAATAGGTACTTCAACTTTTATTCAAAAACAAAAAATTGGTAAAAGTTAAAAGCTCTCTAACATCTTTACTTAACCGCTGACGAGCATTACGTCCAACGGTAGTCAGTGTAAGGCTTTCACCATAATTGTATAATGCAAAATAAGTAATTCCGGATTTCTTTTCTGGAAAACCACACTCTGTGATACACGTTAGTCACAAACAGACTCACCATGGTAGAGTGATTTTCATAACATTAATTCAAAACATCTGGACATTTAGGACTTCTTTAAATTTCTCATTCTAAGAATATTTTCCAAGTCTAAGAAACGTACTCTCAAAATAATAGCAAAATTTACAGCAAAATTTACACTATTCGCTGTTTTATAAGTAAATAATGGTAAAAAATGTTTGTCACTATAACAGTTCATAATAATTAAAGAAAGAAAAAAAAAAATTTCTAGTTAGTGTCATTGTTTTCTAGTAGAAGTACTCATGGAGTAGTTCTTCTACGAGTAGTGAACACTCATATGCAAAATGTTTAGGATCAAATATTGATGGTCCTGCTTATTAGAGGAGTCACTACCGAATTTTTAGTAACCTATCTCAGTCGCCACATCACGTTTAATCAGGAAAATCCAATGGAGAATCATATTTGATTATCTCGCTTTTCTTCTCAACTGCATTGCTTACATTTCGTTTCATACAACGGATATAATTTACTTGTCCGTCTATCACCAGATAAATGTGGGCCGACTTTTAATTAAAACAACTAAATCACAGACATTATAAATAAGAGCTTGTTAACGTCTACTAACCGTATACTCGTGTTTTGCGACATATCTGCAGTATTTCTCCACAGGCAGCTCCGCGTCGGTAGGGCACGTTATCGAACGGATCGTCGTATGTGAAACGGTCGATGCAGGCATGGTGAATTCAACCCGCAATTGATCATTAAACTCCGTTGGGATTTGATCGAAAGATGTCAGTTCTAGGTCCACTGTCATCATTTGCTGTGTATACGCCCCTTGTCCTGCTCCAGAATATTGAAACGATATTTCTAGTTGCCATAGGTATAGTAGTGTGCTTATAGTTACATATTAGCACTTTAATTTAGTTGCGTTCACTGCAGAATTTTTAATTATTTTAACCTGCAAAATTGTGTTTTTCGTGGTGAAACGGCCAAGAATATCGCCTTACTCACCTTCTTTGGGCAATCGAGGAACTCTCCATACAATGCATTTATAGGCCGGCTCGTATTTTGCCTGTCCGGCGGTTACTTCGATGAGCTGTTTTTCTATATTACCACCTGCCGCAGCTCCCATTATTCTCTCCAGGCCTTTAATTTTTCCATGCCGTCGATTTGAGCTTTTCAAGGCGCCGTAGCGAAAATGTTTTTCCACGCGGAACAGATATACCTAAAAAGTGAATTAAAATTTAATTGGATTGAACAAACATAAATGGCGGGTGTATCGCCCTTGTACGCCGTTATGATCTAATTAGCGCAGGAGACAAGCATCCGTTCAGACGAAAGCTAATTATTTCTAAAACGAAATAGCGCGTCAGTTCCGAAATTTGTTCGGGGATCAGCTGATATTCGATTTTCGCGCGCTCCGAGAAGCTCCCATGAATATAAAGAACAAACTTTGTGTCCGTTATTGCCTATTTTCGCGCAGCTTTTCGAGGAAGACCTTCATGAGGTAAACCGGAAAATCCTCTATAGAACTTAATATTTAGGTACCAATAATTAAAAGGTTCAAAAATTCATTAAAGTGGCTTGAGAAGCCATCTTTAAGATAGCTATTTCAGAGATAAGAATATCAGTTGCCAATAGGATCGTCTGAATTAGCTCGAGTAGTGGCCTTTTTGAGATCTTTCAGGTCGTTTTGTATTTTTGCAAATTTTCGGCCGTTTGAGCAAGGAGAAGTGTCTTTGCACTTTTGTTCTTTATTCTTGTTCAAATGAAGCGGCGCTCATTTGTCAATTTCTTTTCATCTTGCGAATTCCATCGCCATGGATAAATATTGTATTTTATCGTACGCCAACTCCAAGTACTAAAATCTGTCAACTTTTAGAGAGTCACCTTTCACCCCAAAATTCTCGTTTGGAATTTTCTTCGTCAACGGCTCACAGCATTTCTTATAGTAGTAGATATCTTATCAAATACAGGGCAAGCTGTTCCTGGCACTGTAATTTTAAAATGAAAAATTCTTACTCGTACAGCATTCAAATTTTCGAATTTTATAGAACTCATTGAAACTTACTGCTGTTGTTCTCTTAGTAAACACATTGAAGTGAATAATTTCGGATTCAAAAAAGTGGAAGTACATCTCGAACACGAAAAAATTCTCACAAAATATAGGCTCGCTATAAAACAGCATTATTTTATTATTTAAAATCAACTTTTCTTGCACCTCATATGTATACATAGGGAAAAAACGTGTTATATATAAATTACTCTATATAAGAGTATCACCAAAATCAACTTAAGATGGCAAGAACAAAAGCGAAAAAAACTTATTGTCTCGTAAGCTTAGGGGCCCATGGAAAAATGTCATACATATATATTTAGATTTCACAATACATCCATGTACGAGGGCATGGCCTTCAAATGAACATTTAGCACACATTCTTACACAACATAGGTTTAGGGAAAATATTTGTCGCACCGGTATATTTGTACGAGACATATGCCTATACAAAGGTTGTATGTACGTTATAAAATCAATATCACCCCTTAATGTGCCACAACCTCTGTTATACGTCGGGTATCTGTTAAGGCCTAAATTTGATTAAGTATAATTTTTTTTTAAGTCATCTACTCGAATAACATATTTGAATAATTACTTTTAAATATTAGATTGTTTATCAGGTTGTTCTGTAGGAACCCTGTTCTGGGCTCTTGTTTGTTCTTTGCTTTTATAAGCACATACCCAACATTCAGGGATAGGAAAGAACATAGCGATGTCTTCGCACGGAATTTGACCGTGCTTCCGGGATGAATAGCCAGGCACAAGGACCTCAGCCTTGAGTTGCACTTTGGGAGGGCTAACCCTTAGCACCGCGGTGAGCTGAATGGGCAGTTCTCGCTGGCGTGGCGGGCGCACTCGGAAACGCATTAACTCGAAGAACGTGGCATCCGGCGGACGCACTTTGATCACCTAATCACCAACAGAATCGACAACACGTGAAACAACATCGGCCAGAAGAGTGACTCCAAGACTTTGCTCACACCGCAGCCAACGTTTAGGAGGATGAATCAAAAAAAAATTAGAAGTGGAAGGGCGCATTGTATAAAAAAAAAAAAAAAAACTAGTTTTCAGCTTATAGTTTGTTATTCATTTAAAGTCTTACTTTTACAGGAAAATATTCGACAAAAGACAAATTCGAATTGGCAACAAAAGGCCATAGGTTATTAAATTAATAAGGTGCCATTTAAAAGTACCTTATTTTCTATAAACTCTTGTCTCTCAACACACGCATGAAATTCGCAGTCTTCAACTCGAATCCACTCTTCCGTTACAATCGGCATAATGTCATGCCGTCCAACGATTTCCTTCCCTTGACGAGTCAATTCATTGATCCCGACTTCTACATCAGGCATTCCATTGACAAACGCTAGAAAAAAAATTCGAACGCGCGCTTTTTGGGAGCACACGTGGCCAACTTTGTCAATATCAACCACGTACTCATCCACGACCATGGCTTGAATCTCCTCACACTTGTACGTGAGAGCACGATCCCGGTGGATTTGCAATCTGAAATGATAACCTTTCTCATTCAATAACTAATCAATAATAATTAGAGCAAAATCAAATGTAAACATTTTAACGTATCAAAGTCTGAGTTTATGTCGACTATATGTTTTACTGGTTATCTTTCATTATTTAATCTTTATTCAGTCCTGAGCATATACGATATGACTAAGAGGGGCAGCGATTCCAGGTGTTAATGTTGTTATCGCATGTTGATCCACACAATTATCTACCTTCGAGATGGAACTGCGTGAACGAAAGGTGGAAGCGATTATTAGATACAAACAGATCGCCACTAACCGAAAGAGGACATCTTCGATGACTTGCACAAATGTTCTTATGCTATCGATATCTGAAGTTCCTAACTTGAGAAGCTGAGTAAGTTGAGGGACGTGTTGAAGTGGGAGACCTAGTTTAGCTACCGATCCCATTGAGTTTACCTGTAATTGGTACGCAGAAAGGCCACTTGAATTTGAATTTGTGTACAGTGTTGCAGAATATTAGGCGGCGCTAGCATCAAGCGATCCTGGTAGGAATTCAAGATGCTTTTTTCAAAAAAATTTTTTACCTTGCTTTTTTACCAGTTTGCTTATTAGCTTACTTATGGCTTTGCTAAAGGTTCGAAAAATAAGCTTGTTCAGAAAGCGTTGTCAACAAAGTTTTATCTTATTATATTGCCTTTACTCTTTTCTGAAATACCCTATACTGAATCTAACATTCGATCCTATGGATAACAACTTCGACGAAAGCGTATAAATATAATACTCACACAACCGATTTGTTGAACGAATTTAAAAATAAATCACCCTTGTTAAACTAATCGAGGAAGACTAAGACTGTGTTCCCTGTTGAACGCTGCTGCTCGATACGAGTGCATCTATTAAACAGAACCTACAAATCTGAGACAACTCGGGATAAGCACTATCCAGATAAAAAGGAAAATCGTCGGATAGAAGTATTTGAACTTCATAGATTCGAGAGAATCAACGGCATTTTATTACGTGTATATACGCTATATTATTAGTTTACCATAGATCGACTCCTATGATCGAATACGTTAAAAGGTTGCAAAGATCAGCATCACGCTTTTTAAGGGTTACAAAGGCCAGACCATTAATCCAACACATTTCTAGAATATTATCACAGTCGTACCTGTCCCGACATGACTTTGGCAATTTGTCCTTTGCGGACGCCAACGGTCTCCTTGTAAAAGGTGTACTGCAGTTTGATGGTGAAGATCTTTTTGAACTGGTCAAATTGCTGGTGCGCCATCTCCGACAGCGAGTAGCAACCTTGAAGAGGGACTTCCTGTATAGGATCCGAATCATCTCTTTTGTTCATCACCCAAAGAATAGTTGTGTCTGCAAACTTCACGTGCACTGGCTTCCAGTATCGATTTCCTATTAAAATAATATTGAAATTAGTTTTAGCGGCAGATCATTCTCAAATACATTGTGTAAACATTTGACCACCTGTGCAACGCATAACCAAATTTATGTTATCGAACCGGACTACGATTAATCATAACAGACACGCGGCAGGCACGTAAAAGTAGGCAGGTTTCTGCCTATAAAAAGTGAAGTAGGAAAAATCATTTGCTTATTTAGGAAAATCAATCGTATAATGCTAGTGAAAACTATTAACGAGATGCCTCACAATGCGCGGCTGCTTTTTTGATTTCTATGTGAATTACGGCATTGATATTGAAGAGACGCATACTATATTCAAGGGATTACACAATAGGAGAGAATATAAGGCGATAACTTATTCGCAAACGGTAACGGTTTTGCCGTCTATCGACACGGAACTTTCTCAGTGAAAGCACTTTTTCTTTCAATTAATATTGTTGTATTATTGCAATTATAACTGACTGCGTATAGTATTATATTATATATATATATATATATATATATATATATAGATAAGATATTTACGATGACAATGTCTACTAATATATATATATATATATATATATATATATATATATATATATATAGTATACGTTGTCAACGTAAGTATCTTATCTATTTGTATCGTTATTTTGGACATTCTGGCTACAAAGTTCGACATCGTCGACCAGTGTTGCATGCATTTTCCTATGTTCGTGTTTTATTGAAAAACTGTAGCCCAATTTTACAAAACGAGACTTTTGAGCACCGTTAGTTCTCCGAGCATACAGACAAACAGGATACATACAAAATGGGTACAATCTTAGCTAGGTATCCGTTACGTTGATGCTTATGTACTACTGTCCTGTAGAAGCTCCCTATTTTTGATTAGGTCTGGACTCCATAGTAGCGTGCTACGTAGATCGTGATCGGTTCGACATACGTACGAAACAGTATGACGTATAGGATCACTTGTGAAGAAAGAATTCAGTCAACACGTTGTGACGCTGAACGTGAAGCAGGTGGAATTAATAATATCTAGATGTTTAACTCATACATGTCACAGGTGAACTTACCCGTGAACTTCTTCTTATTAGGCCACCGAAGGTAGAAATCCCAGCCTTGGCTGACGTCAACTTTAGGCTTCCACTCGGAAAGGGGCTGCGAAATATCCTCGTCATATAGAGGAGTTGATGGAGACAGGGGTCCTGTCTGCTTCGCTGCGGAGTCCCCAAGCGCTGGCGGAGGTCCAACGTCCTCCTTGCCATCTTTTCCGTCCTGTCCTTCTGATAACAAGGCGTCTTCGAACGCATTGAACAATTCCTCATCTGCCGTTTTCGCAGCCTTCATTGAGCCCTAAATCATCAGCCAGACGCTACATGTAGTAATTACGACATTTACTAAGTACAGTAAATTTTCGCCATGTTTGAACATTGAACAACTACTACAAATTCAAAATTAATAATATTCCAGAGCCAGAGTGAACAAATTTACCAGGAATTAGTCAGCTTCACAGGGTTACGGGGTGATAAATTAAACATTCAAACTTTAAGCTGGCATCAAGTTGTGGGCTTTTGTGAAGGCGATTTAAAAAGTGTCTCGCGCCACAAAGCTTCAGTGGCCTATCCCCTCTGTATTTAGTACATCGTAAGTGTTCTATACTTCCATTTATCACAGGCATGCAAAACGGCTTATACGGTAACTGTATACACCAATTCAAGTTACTTTTGTAGGCGGTTAAAAAGAATGACTTACACGAGGTGCGTGAAAGAAATGTGGTGAATAAAATTGATAGATATAACTATGATAAGTCACTTTGTAATTTCCCTTGAAGGACTTCTATTGCGGAGTCAAGTGAACATCAATTTTATGTAACTATACGAGACATTTGGTGGCTTTTGAGAATATAATTATCGTCGCAGTTCTGACTAAAAAGTGACAAGAGTGTCATATTCGTCGTTAATTGTATTCGTAATGTGATAGTATCTTAGTGTACAGATATAGTGGAGGTTCCTTGTATTTTAGTGGGACTCTTGTATAGCAATGTTACGCTCCTGTTTATCAGGGATCATCAAAACAGCTCATGTGGAAATTAATTACCTTGTCAAATGGATTGAAACGATCCGGTTGCACCTGGTATCCGGCTTGGCGTGAGGGACTTTTTGGGGGTGGTAGAAGTTTGATAGGCGTTGCCAGTTTCGGTAGAGGGACACCGGCCCCACCCAAATCAGCAATTGGACGCAGTTTGGGTTTGATCGTCACCCTCATGTGTTCTTCCTCTTCGTCGGAATCAAATGAGTCCTTTGGCTCAGCAAGATTTGCCTTTTTGACTGGGGTATTGTCCGGAACCTGAATGATAATCGGCAAATTATCCCATAGCATGTATGCGACATAAGAAACTAAAAACTGAAAGATTCACTTCAATTTATTTAGAAACTATAGGAGTTATCTTGAGAACAAACTGATAGTACAATGTTCCACAATAAAATGATATCATCTCCAGTGAAGTTGATGAATAGAGCAACCGACATAGAGGGGATAGCATGTATCGAAAAATGTAATGGAGGACAAAAAATGTGCAATGTCGTAGCTTTAGGTAAAGCACGCATTAAAGATTAAACAAGTACGGCTGATTTATTGCACGCAACATTTTTGTACAACAAGATCAAACAAGAACAATTTACTTTTTACTTTTTACGCCCGTCATTGATTTATACGATGCATATAATATATCAGTTGATATCGCTGTTTATATCTAACTAAGAAATATTTATACGTTATGTGTGTAATGTAGAACTGGAGATGAATCAGTATCCACAATTGTCTATTTGACTGACCTGCGTCGTCGGTATCAGGCCTTCGGAAAGATAATCCGTCGAGTCGTTCTGAAAACTTTCTCCCCCAAAACCTCCGCTGATATCGACCGGGTTACGTCCACCTAAGCCTTCGAACGGATCCAGCTCGGCTACCCCACCATCAGCTGTTGAATTAAACTTCGAGGCGAATGCACCCAACGTGCTTTGATCTATATCAAAAAAGGGAAGGTGAGCTGAGTTGTTATGGGTTCTTACCTTTCCTTTGGAGGAAATAAACAATATACAGATACTTTTTTCTTTCATAATACGTTATGAGAGGCTCAATGATGGTTGTTTTCGTAGGCATTTGTATAGTAGGTAAAAACTTGAATCCTGTTAGCTCAACGGTACCATGTGATGAGGGCAAAACGACTGAAACAATTTGCCTCCCAGGGTCCTGTCGTAGGACACTGAACAACCCAATCACCGTCTATAATTATATTCCTACTTCTGGCACACTATGTTAATAATTAATTCAACAGCATTGTGCAATTCCTCCAGCCTTTTGAGGTTCATATGCTCCGGTTGGATTATCCAACGATCAGCGAGATGTGCTGCTGCGCTAAGGTGCTACATTATCAATGAGAAGATCAGGGCATAAAATTTTTCGCTGGTTTCAGCTGGTTTTAGCGGGATTAGGTGTTCGAAAACACTTGGTGTCCTCTTTGGCTTTCTTTTACAGGTACATTTACTTGTCTTGCAACGTGGCTATATTATACGGACCGCTCAATTGCGTGGAATCTCATTTTCGAAGAAGTTAGCATTAGCTGTGTGTATATTTATCACAGTTCAGCCGACGATATCGACGTAACTCTTCTTACAGGTATTGGCTGTCTATTTTCCAGGGACGAGCAAAGGTATATTTTACTGTAGTACACCCTCTAGCCTCTGACGTAAGTGAATCTCTGATTTGAAAAACCTTCCCTTGTTATCTAGCCTGAAAAGTCTTTCTTCTTGATATTATAGTACATAGCGTACACTATTTATGATGCCATGAGTAAATTTCTTATGTCTACAAAGAAATTAGAATAGACTCTCACCGTAAGATGGTAAGTATTGGATTAAGCCGCCAAAAACAGAATCTGATATTTATACACGTACCTGTAGCTGGAACGATGTTTTCTGTATCGAAAGGGTCTGCTGATTCGTTGGTAAAGGTAAATGGAGTGTTTTCAACCACTGTTGCAGACGCCGCTGGTGCAGACGCAGCAAACGCCGACGAAAATGAGACATCCGTCGCCTCTGCTTCTGTTATCAAGGAAATCAAGGTTTTATTACCGTAGGTATTATTAATTAATCAAGGTAATATTATTTTTAACTGCACAGCCGCAGCCTATATTGGGCTCGCCTGAGCTACTCAAGCAGCATTAAGAAGATGCAGTTGAACTATTCGCCAATATTGGTAGCAACACGTACGTGGTCGTTTCGTGCTTCCCAATTCTAAGCTCATTTTGATTGGCACTTTTTACTACTGAAAGTACAGAGTTTTCATAGTAGTTTTAAGACCACGTTGAGTCTAACAGTAAAGGTGAATCCACTTACCATCATTCTTTCCGAATGGATTATTAATTCCGACGTTTACAGGTGGTAGAGTTGCAGTTGGACTAAACGGATTTGAGTCCTGCGATGTCTTTCGACTAAATACATTTTCAGATTTTGGGGGTGAGGCGATTTTGTTCGTTTCTCCTCGACCAGTATTTGTCATTGTAGCTGTACTACCAGGTGAAAATGGATTTTCCGGCGATGAAGAACTTTTCTCCTTAGCCGTGGACGATCCAAAAGGATTTTCCGGGCTGGAAGGTTTAGCCGCAGCAGTATTACCAAGCGAATCATTCGGGAGTGAAACGTCCTTTTGTTCGGTCTCGCTCATACACGGGTTCTCCGGAAAACAAAGCGATCCATGCTGTGAGTTCTCAGGAGAAAATGGGTTGCTGGCTTTTCTACCGTTGTTTGCGCCGTTCGATGTAACGGATCCACACTTAATGTCAACCAAGCTATCCTCTTTCGTGATAGAACTCCGTGTGCTGCTTTGTTTGCGTTCTGGTTAACAATGGAAATCATCATGACATTATATATATATATATATTCATCTCGCATCAGTCGATAATCATTCAGAGCAAAAACAAGCCATATTTGTAGGCAAGGGGCCACCTACGTCGAGATGAGAGTAAGCTTATAGTTATTAAAATTATCTCGTTGATCATTCCATGGCTTTCTTTCTCTGTCAAGCCAACGTACAGATTCCTCACCGAAAAGAAAACCGGGCACCCATTTTTAAGGCAATTTATTCGCCAACTTATTTGCAGAACTTAGATACCATTACTCCCACTAAATAAGATATCCGTATAGCGAGTTGCTTGCCGGTCAATAGTTTATTTCTTGAGCTGTAGATCTTATAAACTCCTACCTATTTTTCATCGCCGGTCCCTATTTCGTGCAAAATTGGTACTTTCCCGTCGAAAGTGTTACAATCTATATCTATGTAAACGGTTGGCATCGAAAGCTCTCACGGCCTAGTACATGTAGGATTCGCCTGCCTGATGAATAAATCGTCAAAGGCAGTTTCTATTTGTGTAGGCAATTTAAGACGGGAGGCCGCCCTTGGATCAGGCTAGCCGTTAGCTAGGAAACACCTTTATCTAGCTGTCCTGAGCCTGGCTTGTGCTTCAAACTTGGAAATCTCCAGCTCCAAAGCGCTCAAATCGGTTTTATATACACGCAGTCCTCATTGTTTTAGCTATACTTTTCTTGGAAATCGTAGATCGTTTATGCTGATTGCACAGAAGATGCGGCTAAGTAGTGACTGCTTAGCGGAAGTGCAAATTATGCAGTAAACGCACAACCGTCCAAAGGAAAGTACCGGTAGTCAGACTGAACGGATACGTAATATATTCAGGTGTCAAGGCTCAAAAGCCAATTTTCTAATAAGTGCAGTACATGTTAATATTCAATTTATAGCAAAACTTAATTCAAATCATTGACTTATGTTTCCTTGAAAGTATGCCGTAGCAGCGCGTGCCAAAGATGGCGACGTGATTTTTTGAGACACGGTATATCCAATCTTTACAGGTGCTACCCATTTTTCATAAAATCGTACCTTTTTCGCGCAAAAAACTACGGTACCATCTTAAATCCGGTTGTCCAAAATAACTTAGTAGAGGTAATCGGAACAATAATAATAGTGGTACTAATAATAATAAGAATAATAATATATATATTGACAAATAAATATATTTACAACGCAATATGAAATTCCGACGTCAGTGTCAGTTTGCGTTATTGGTATAACAGACTATGTACAAATTCATTGCACAGTGAGCGGTATGGATAATAACATTACTGGGTTTACCCACTTCGAGGCACCGGTACGGAATGCATATAAGATCCGTATCTCTTCAGACGCAACCAAGTTAACTAAAAATGATGCTCCTACTTCAAGCTCGATTCAGAAGAGTCGGGTCTGTATATAACTGTTTAGTAAACGTAGCGGAAATATATGGAACAAATCCGGAAAACGAGGCCTGCTATTGTAAACACGTTGTCTTATCTGCGCCTGATAAACGGGACCTCCTGCGCGAAACGACCTCCTCGCTTGTACGTCGTCCCTTGTAGTATTTCTACAACTTGTATTGAAATTTTTCGTTTAGTCATTTCCTCAATGAAAAATTCATATAATTTCATGCTTACACACTTACACAGGAAATCAAACTGGTCTAATCGTTCTATATATATATACATATAAGGTTCTAATTAGCCTGCTAGATCTTAGTGCATCAATTATCACTATAACCCAGGCACCCACAGAACTACAACTATTACAATAGCAATTATCACATGCTTATCCAAGCAAATGCTCATTTGTTCAAAATAAGCTTTTCGTAATACCTGAACATCAATAATAGTTAATGTCCAACCGTTGAGGTCTACGCACCTTGAATTGCAGCAGCCGGAGGTGGCGTAGGTCTCTGGAGTTGGGTTCGATCCATATTTGTTAGGTTACTCAAAGGTAGCAATGGGAACTGTGGGGCTGGCTGGTTGTTAAGAAGCGTTGGAGGTTCGGGGGCTTTTTTGCTGCCGTCATTGCTACCGAACAGTTCTTCTTCCTGTTGCCGTAGCTCACTCTCAAATACATCCGAGCCTGGCGTAGGCGCGCCCGACACCGGGCCTGCCGATTCCGATAACAATAAATTTTTATATATATAAAGTATCACTTTTTTTTTGCCTTGGACCGTAGGAAACAGGCCCAGATATGCATCGTTGTTTCATATATGTAAGTTAATAAATAAATAAATAAAAATAAATAAATTAAATAAATAAAAATGTTAAATAAATGGAACTAAATCATGTAGAAATTTAATGTTGGCAACCAGTAGTAGCCGAGTCCGATGTGTCCTTTGAACAGCCCGTCCTAGACGAATGATCATCTCATTTTTTTAAAAAAAGTTGGCAGTCGTAATCTAAGAGATGTCTATATGTTTTTACCTACAGTTCTGCAGCTGAAATCTAAACACATTTGAAATTACAGTACTTCTTACAGATTAGCGAATTTACTTATTTGTATTAGTTCCAGCCTATCGTGTAGGTTTTTTCACTCGCCTATCGTTTTTCAACCAGATCAAAGGTTTTGTCCTGTATATATAAGGGCAACATAGGCGTTTATGCTGTCATATGCTCACCAGGTACGTTGGTCGTTGGCAATTCGAGTCCCTGCTGGACGTCTTTAAAAGGATCAAACGAGTCCTTAATGCTCTGCAGCATCTGGGGTAGCTCATGGGGTGGCAAGTCGGCCTGTGCCTGAGGAGGCACGTCATCCAAGTCGATGCTTTTTTTGCCGAACGCCAGCTGAAACGCGTCCACGGGTACAGCACTGTCGCTGGAAGGCGGCGGTAGTGTGGGGGCCACAGAAGGAGCTAAAGGTGTTACGGGAACACCTTCCGACAGATTCCCAACAACAACCATCTGATCCGTGAACGGGTCGATTGACGCTGCCGTCGCTACAACGATTGTTTAAAAACGAAGAAGGCATACTTATTTACACTATTAAAATGCATTGCTTGTTCGACTGTTTCTCACAGTGTTCCCCAATCCAATGGATTGTCGCCTTTGGATACACAAATTTTTGGTCAGAGATATATTGTCCTAATTGTATGAAAGGCTAAGAAGTTAATGCCCAAGACAAACGGCCACTTTGTCTAGCATAAGTAGACATCAGTCTCAGTGGATACTCGACCACAGAGTTAATCGGAATACTCGCTATATTAATAACTAACACTTACGATTGAAGGCACTGCTAACTGTGGCTAACGTGTTGGTCGGGTTAAGAGTCGTGGTACTTGAGGAAGAGACTATGTTTGATGCTTTCGCTTCTGTAGGTGCTAACATATCCATGAGTTCCGGTACTACGGCCTGATCTACTACGGCAGCGTCCGACTCTGAAAATGGGCTTATTGGCGAAGGTGGCGGAAGCCCACCTTTTGATGAAAGTGTCCTGCAAAGGTAGTAAGTGGCTGTTTCTACATGGTGCAGGCCGATGTATGTATTTCTAGCTAGCTAATTAGGGATAGCCTAGTTTAAAAAAAAATTTTTTTTTCATTTATGCATTTACACTCAAACATCCATATATATATATATATATATATATATATATATATATACCATAAATCAGCGTATTATTACGCTCCTAATGTCCACATTAAGACTAGGCTAACTGATCTACTCTATTGTAGAGCTGCTTTCACTTTTATCTACCTAAATATAGCTGACTGCGCCTTATACCATAAATTAGGATAAAATGTGTTTTACTGTGTCTGCTTTCAACGCATAACTATTTATTGTTGATGTCTAGCAAACACACAGTACCCATTGTTTATACTCAGTAAGATTTCTCTCAACGTGTACTTTTACGCACAAAAAAAGCTCAGCTAAGATCTATGGATTTTTCTTTTATACAGCCATACTGAATTTCCAACTACATTACAATCTAATCCTTCATAATCTTTATGAATCTTTATGAGAAGGAGTACGCCGCTTTGAAGGCAAAACATTTTTGATTGTGCATTCACATGCGTTGCTCTTAAAATGAATGCTTAGAAAAAAAAAAATTAAAATTAATGCAGTCTATTAGTCGAACTAAATTACTCGAAATCGCAACACGAGCTTTATTTCACTACATAAAAGGGAATATAATAGCAAACATTTGGTATAGAAGAGTAAAAAAAGTGCAAGGGACATCCTGTGAAGTACCGATGATAGAGGTCGTCATCGTCGTCTTTGTCAGCAAATTCACTGGCAATTGCCTGGAGCAGAGCTGCCCCGGTTCGAATCGTATCTTCAGTGCTTAGCTGTTGAGGTGCGGCGAGTGTTGGAGGGTCGAATGGATTTGTTGACGAGCGACGCGAAGCGTTTTTGAAGAAGTTTTGCACGTCATCAGGAATGTCTACGGGTGAGCATTCAGTTGAACTGAACAGAGATGAGCCTGCTGTGGGCCGCGAGGGTGGCCGAACCCGTGGATTAGGATCTTCTTGCACTCCTGATCCAGATGAAGAGCCGCCGAAAGGATTCACTCCTCCAGAAAGCGACATCCTTTTCTGCGTTAGCTGTGCCACCTGTTAAAGAACAGACGATCTTTTTAATTTAGTAATTTATTTTGTAAGTAAGCAGCAATAATACATGAAACGGGGTCCCATCAATAACTTGCCTCCTCAATTCCTTTATCAATCTTCTGTGTGTCAAAGGGATCCTCTTCGTCCAACTTGACAGTTGATCCACTGTCCTGTACCACCGGCGAAATAAACGACGTGTCGAAAGGGTCGACCTCGAGAGGAGTTTTCGGGATCGCCGAAGGACCAGAAGAAGGGCTGAAGTGTAAAAGTCCAAACGTGCTGCTGTGAATAGGTAGTCTCTAGCGAGCAAGTCTTCAAGTAAGTTTGAAATAGAAGATATGCCCCTGGTTTTGTGTAAGTAAATTCCTAAATAAAGCAACTTCTTAAAGTGAATCTACTTATAATCTGGGCGAATTTGGACGAAAAAAATTCGGTAAACATTCTATGTACTTCGACTAAACAGACCAATGATATGAAAATACACGAGCGCTGTGGCCAACTTTATCTCCTCTGACATTTAATTAATATCCAGCTTTTTCTACCATCTACAAATCACCAGAAGCCCAAGTATCACATTTCTGGTTTCCTTCGGTGCAAAATAAAAGTTTAGAATGGGTTTATCAATGATCTATAAATCGTAAAAAATCTACTTTTCGACGTATAGGCGAAAACGTTCACGAAAATCAAGCTTGTTGGAGTCTGTGCTCCTGTTATACTATTATTATTTTATTTTAACACTTTTCCTTATAAAGCTCACCTGTAATAAGCGAAGGAAAGTTTTGGTTCTCCCCCGTCGTCAGTGGCGCTTGCAGATGACGCGTCTAGGCAAAGAAAATCTGGAGTTTGCTTTTTGTCGAAAGTGTTTAGGGCTCGCTCCCATTCTGTAACATTAGATAATTAAAGCAATGAGACTAAGCAATGGCAGACGAAAAGAGCAGAAGCCGGCCCGATAATGCCCATACATGATAAACCATATCGTTCAGAAAGCAAAGGCCACCTCGTTTTGCTAACAATCTAATCTTTTGTCAGGAAAATTAAGCTCATCAAACAAATTGTGCCTGTATATGTCTAATATATTCCTTTCTCAGAAAAGAACGCTCATCAGTATTCAAAAGCATTGGTTTGACCTCATGGCCGCTCCATATACTTACTACGATTACAACTATCGTCGAAAGGCAGGGAGGCGATCGACGTAACCGATGCTTACTTTAAATCAAGCACCTCGGCCGTCAACTAAAATGTGGATACTTCTTCATGCTCCAGGGAGCATCAGATATGCGATCATCCATGAAACTTACTTTAAAAGGAAAGTGCTGTCCTTTACCAGGGGTAGCCCATTGGATCCTTGAATATTGTTATTTTAAGAGTGTCAGTATATGTAAAGGTCGGCCAGGTTTAAAGGCAGCGCTTTGAACAGTTTAGCGGGGACACTTGGATGATAGGGTGAATAAGCATAATATATATATACATATATATGCACCTTTTGAATGCTTTTTCAAGAGCCATGCGGTGGATTAACGTCCACATTAAGTTAAAAATGGCGTAACCAGAGCTATTATTGATTGTAAATGTTGAAAGTAAGACTTACTTCCCAAATATTTATATATTGCTTAAAGACGTAAGTACACAAATAGTAATTAGGTATAGTTTCTATGGGCCTTTTTACGACTATGCAAACGATAATAAGCGGGTCACTGCTTCATTTTTAGATTTAGTATACTTTTCATTACAGTGGTTGTCTACTGGTCAGCCTAGATAAAATGATAAAAACCATTGATCAATTCTGCTGCTCAACACACTTCCCATCATTTCTAGAACCACCATTCTATTCCGGGAATTTTGTTGAATTTGTCAATAACTATTAACGTTTTTATATACATTATAGTGTCATATTAATAACCATATCAATTAATGTAGGGAAATAAATTATTACCGTCAGCGTCTCTGCGTTGTCTAAGCGCCTCCCTTTCACGTTCCTCTTTTTCACGCTTGGCCTCTTCGAGCGACTTGACACCTTTATACTCTGGAATAACAACGGCTTCCTTCTGCTCTTTAGCGATAATTTCCTCGACTACTGAGGACTCTTTGACCTTCTCGATGCTTTGAACTGTCGAAGCGACCGCAGTCTCAACCTTTCCGAGGAGCTTATTAAACAGCTCCCAGTCCTCGCTGGATTTTTTTACCTTTTTCATTTCGAAAGTAGCCGACGTTTGATTATTCACGTTCACTATTTTACTCTTGATAGGAAAGCCATTATTCTAAATTCACAATTACCTTATCGTCAAATAGTAAGTTAAACGGAAATACGAGTTATAGATACTTAATTCTTGACTAGTGAATAACTTGTATCCTGCAACAAAGTACTTCGAAAAGCAAGTAACTTCAAACCTAACAAGAGGTCTTCGAATTCTTAACTTAACGAAATAGATTAACAGTTGATTTGGTCACTATTAAAAACAAACTTTTTGGAAGATACAGTATTGAGAAAAGTGGTCGAAAAGCGAACTGATTATGTTTCTCGCTTATCTTTAAGCGAACAGACGTTCGACGACTAAAACCGATAATAAAACATCTAGGTATCTCCTTTTGGTATTACCTTTTGGGATTTGGTAGCAAATAAAAAAAAGAAGACCGTGGACTGACTAACTCTGAAGTGAAGCCTCCAGAGAATGTTAAAAGTTCAGTAGTATCAGTTTCTAAAATCAATTTTCTTTTAGCTCGAAGAATACTGTTCGAAGTAACTAACATTGCTCCGTGCTTCCCTTTCGTATGTAGATGCAGTATCGCATGGGCTTTTACTGCTTGCTATAATCGTGTGCAGCTCTCGTTCTTCATAGATAGTGTTACACATTATGATTTTGCTATAATTTACGCGGATCAGCGAACTGATTGATTTTTGTAAAAAAGCAAGGCTCTCACCGACGTTACCGGTTCCAGAGGGTTTGAAGCCGACTGGGCGCTATCGCCCTCATCCTTTTCAGCTTTTGGAGGGAGCACCGTTCGTACCTGCAGCAAAGATCATCGTCAGACTGACTCACTTGTTAAGCTTACATGCATATTAACTAAAACACTGTAGACTACAAATACTAGAAGTTTTTCTGAACGTGCGAATGCTTAGCCGGCAGTACCCCTGGCCTATTTGACTGCAGTTACAATGGTGTTTGTTAGGGAAGTTTTTCCTGAGGTAAGAGTTAACTGAATTGAGAACAAATGACTTTTTGTTGTTTTTAGTAGAAAACTGTAAAAGACCTTGGACTTATAGAAGAAGATAAAAAAAAATCGTATACAATTTTATTAAGAGGCCTCAATGTATCTGAAGCTGGCGCTGTTCGTCAATGACAAAAACAGTAACTAATTTAGGCATTTTCTTTAACTTATTGCTTGCCGACAATAGCGAAGTTCCTTGTCACCAATTTTGTTTCAAATTAAATTAAACCGATGCGTGTGTATAGCATAATAAACAGAAGATTTAGTGTGCTTAAATTTTGAAAATTTAAGCTATTGATGGTAGCTTTAATAATTTAAGCACTCAATTGTCTGAAGGCCACCTACTTATTCAGTACCCTGTATCGTCTGTTTCAGACTTTTTAAATATAGTTGTAGACTATCTAATTTGTCAAGAACTTTGATTCACAAAACTTGAAATTCTGTTCAACTGCTTTTAGGTGAGCCCACTGATTAAGTTATATAATAATAATCATAAAGAATCCTTGTAAGAATTTAATACTCCATTAATACTAACAAATGTATTTCAACTGGCCTTACGGCTCATACGGCTTATCTAATGTTTTTCCGAGCTTTCGTATCAGCTATTATTGACGATCATCGCTTCGAAGGGCTAGTTTAATCCTTTTTCTAATGAGATTTCATTATTTGGCGGAAAGACGTCTGATATAACGAAATAAGAATAGCTATAATGTCGATAATCTTTGCAATCGTTGCCCTTTGAAGAGCTTTTTTTTTTGCAGGCATTAATAGATGACAATAAGAATAACAATATTAGTTTGTATTTACCCAATAACAAATATAATACGTAAAGTTCTAAGTGAATTAAATTGACATTTTGAAGTCATGAAGTCGGACATGAGAACTTTGGAAAACTCCACAGGCTGCTATAAGAACCTTATAACGTCAACCATATATAGCATCTAGATATATGTATAGATACCATCACACTTGGAAATGGAGGAGAGGAATAATGAATGACATATTGAGAAGACAACGTTTTCAATGTGTACCATTAAAAACAAGATTTGTTCTAACTGCTCAGCCAACTCTGAATTTGTTTCGTATTGGTTTCCAATACATTTGTATTGAATGAAGACATATATTTAATATATCTTGGTTGGCATATTAATCCTGTTTCTGAAACATCACTAAACCATAAAAATGTTTGATTTGGTTTTTTTTTTAATATAATGTTTACATTTTGGCATTTTTCTCTTGAAATAAATATATTAGGTTTTTCTACGCATTAGGTAAAAATTCGGAAAAAAAACTATTGTAAGGCAGCTCAAAACATTCAACAACATCAAAACCCCATTGTTATTCATTATTTTTGTTCAAAAATACCCATTTTAAGTATAAAGATATACCCACGTTTTACTAAATTCATCGAGATCCATCGAATGGCGCTGATAAAAACCTCAGTCACGTAGAACACCGTGTTAAATTTTCAATCGTCAAGCAGTATTTTCAACCCGAATGTTAACTTTAAAATTAAACTTATTCAGCACATCGCAAACTTTTTAAAAATACTAACATATACATCACTACATAGATTTTCATGTAAGAATGATATAACTAGGCCAACTAAATATGCAAATCAATTGTACGTTCATGAGCAACAATTCCCAGTGAATAAGGCACATGAAATCCCACCAGACGCGAAACATCATTTTTTTTTATGAAGATTTGGTCAGACCCTAAGCTTGAATTTCCCTCCTAAAGCCCCACTCGTTTTGATATCTGACACATGTTGATATACAAGCGTTACTTCTGATCACCTATGCAACGCCTGTGTCATTGTGGTCACGTGACGTTCGATACCGGGCGGGATGTTAAGATGCAGCATCAATCCGTAATTTTTTGTTGGAGCCAGAAAATTTGTGAAGTACTCAAACGTCAAGCATCGGTGTAAACCCAAGGGACTTGAAATAATTGTCGACGGTCTGTGACTACAACTCGTCTTTTTGGTCGATTTCCGAGTTATTTGTCGGTCATCCTTTTTCAAAAGTGCCTTTAAATGCTCGTTATTGAGCTCATATTGTCGGTCAGGGCGGGAAGTATCCGTTAGGTTAGGAATATAGCCTTTAAACTTGGTAAACCACTCTTGAGCAGTTTTTTTTTTCACGACAGCGTCATTGCCGTCTATAAGACAAATATACCTGGTTGTCACGGCAGTGTTTTGGCCTTGACGAAATACATAGTACGTGGCAAAAACGCACTTTCCCACCTGGAGCGTCCATGTTTGAGGGAATCTTTCACGTTAAAATTGCACTGACCACGCAATACTACTACAGTACTCTGGTAGAGCAGGACGAACGCAGAAGTAAACAACCACGAGGTAAGTTAGGAAGATGTCTTTCCTTAAAATGTTGAAACTTTCCTTCCAACCTGATATTTATGTAACAAACGAATAAATACAAGTATTCTTAGCCAAGGTAAACATTCAAGAGCAAAAAAAACGGACAAAAATGGTCGATAAACCTTGCCTAAATTTAAATAATGCAACAAAATCTCATTGTGTTGATCACCGTGTTTATATGTAGTGCTTATAATGGTGGCATTAAAACATTATCGTTTAGTGCTCTTTCCCGTATTATTCAAGGATTATAGTAGTTTAACAAGCAATTCTGTCGCAAAATCAAATACTCGTTATTTAACTGCTGTTTGACGGATTCATAAAATCCTTTTCGATCCAACTGTTAAGTAGCTTGCTAGGTTAGCAGGTCTTAATCCTTTCACAAAAATTATATATCTATAGAGATCAGGCCTTGATCATAAACAGTAACGAGAAGGCACCAAGGAAACACGCTTATAATAAACTTTCAAGAGTAGAAATGGGTGTGGCTTGCATTACTTTTTGAATTTTTTTTAAGTTTCTTTTAACTGTCATCGTATGCTTAGAAGTTATTAGGATCCACTAAAAATTATCCCCGATGACTCTCATGAACTTCCAGCAGTACTACGTGCTCTAATTCGGAGCTTTGTTTCAACTCGAGTGAGCGGCAGGTAAAATATCTAGAATATCTAGAAATTAGCTCGACTAGTTCAGAAGAACTTTTTTTTATAAAAGCTTCAAGAAAATCTTGACTCACTTGATTTAAGGTTCATCCATCAGCTTCTAAGTACGCTGTAAGCTCACACTTAAAAGCCAAATACTTCGTTGAGCCAATTATGACCTGCGTATGAAATGAAGATTCGTCGTATAGATACTTTGTTCATTCAATGAGTTGCTTATTCTCACATAAGCGTTCTTATTTGGCCTAATATTATTTATCTTCCGATGGCTAAAAAAAAGCGATCGTTACCATTTGGAACAGACAAGAGCGTTATATTACAGGGGCAATCAGAGTTGTCCACCAACACCCCTCTCTATATTCCCCCTGAGGATCATAAATAACAGATGCCATTCTTTGTAAGTTTGAACGATATTGCTTTACGTTTATAAGAACCATTGTGATGTCACTCTTTTGTATTACCGTATTTTACATTACATGACCGTAGCTCATACAATTATATGCTGCTAAAGAACTGAGTGTTTAAAACTTACTATTCAAAATGCATACGCAGTTACTTGAAGCTTACATCATAAAGCTGCAGCTCATGGAAACGAGTTGATTACTAAATTAAGTTTGGTTATTAAAAGAAAATGCTTCATATTGCAAAAGTTTCTCTTTTTTTTTTTGCAGCTCCATTTCTATGTGAAGCTACTTTCTTCTAGACGTTTTCAGATTGTAGCGAGTGTGTTAACCGTAATAGATCATTATGAGAAACGGCAAACATTGATTGAGCTGTAGAATAGCTCTTTTAGTTCTTACCACTGTTGATAAATAATACAAATTATACGCTAGGACGAACTTTAATTATAGTTTAGCTGACAAACTTTTACTCAAATCTACTGATGCATGAAACATGTGTTTCAGCTTGCCTGAAAACGGACGAAACGTCATCATGCATACTTTAAACAATCGAATACAAACGCCATTTTAGCCAAAAGCGCTATTGAGCAATATGAGCCACCTTGTGTGCAAACAATACAAGATTATGTTAGGTATTTTTCTCATGAGCGCCTTGTAGACACCTTTGTTGAAGACCCTCTTAACGCTAATAGTTTTAACACAACTTGTTTTTGTTATCATGAGAAGCTGCACTGGGCTCTGCTTGAACTTTCTTCAAGCTAATCCGGCTATTGTTATTTGATATAATAAAATCACACACAAAACTTTATTTCCTCCCTTCTTCCTAAAAAGAGACGAAATAGACACCAAAATAATAATTTACGTTGCCGTTCTCTCGTTGACAGTCTATAATAGTACTGACAAGAGAAATATGTAGCAAATGTTAAACATTTAGTATAACAAAGAGGATCGATAAAGATTGTATCGATCCCCCTTGTTTTGAACACTACCATTATTTAAGTGTGCATATTTGAAATAAAAAAGCAGAAAATATGCCAGGACGTATCAACGCTAAGGAAGAACGAAAAAGATCAGAACTACAGATTAATGCAAAACGCCGTTATCGAAACTCTGTTGGAAAATCACTTAACGCTATACCTGCGACTCACGTAGATGAACTGGCAAGGTACCCTAGGAAACTAATGCTGCGTGTCAATTGAAACATTGTTTAGCCAGGGACCTTTTGTGGACGCAGATAGCTTGTCTGAATGGGCCTGCAAGGAAGTTCTGTGCCAAGTTATTTTTAACTTTCTGAATCGGTTGTGGCACGGTCATTACGGTGATAAAACAATTGAGCCTTGAGTCGCTATGCTTCTCAGTTGATAGCAAATAAAGTTACACTAGTATATTATTATAGACTAAGTTAAACTGACATGAAAGAAGTGATGCCTAGCTTCGCCGCGTTAACTTTCGAGAAAGTATTGTATCACTCAACGCATAAGACGTGGACAAAACGTTCGGCATAGTATGTAAAATAAGAAATCAATTAACGGATTGTCATCCAGACACTGCACGAACAATGCATACCCTACGATCATTCTAGTGTGAAAAAAATACTCGGTAACATTTTGTCTATCGAAGACAGTCGAGCGGGATAGCATTGATGTGGTATCGAAATACCTGATGAGATGGGTGAATGCTGCTGGCGAGACCGGCCTCTCGCGCTGCTTGGATTGCAAGTTCTCGTTCGTATGCCTCCTCTTCGATTTCCTAGCCACCCGTCGTCACCGTGGCCGTCGCCCCCCCCCCCCCAAATTATTGGCCAACATGGACACATCGTTAATAGGAAGTCGCACAATCTTTTATATATATGCGCTTTTCATAAAGTAGCAAATAAACAGGCTCTAAATTCTAAGATACTAGTATTTAAATAGGTGTACATTGCTTTACGGTGCCTTTACTAAGCAGAGGCGAAGCGAAATAGAAAGCTAGTATTTGACCTAAACGGATATTTTGGTCGGAGCGCCGGGACTGCCCAACGCCACACACGCGCATAGTTTGCCTTCGAAAACAAGAATAGATTATCTTTCTTATTCAAATTCCTA